TATCTCATTTATCACTTTCACGGGTTTATTACGAATCAACTTAACAGCCTGCTCACAGTTGGCTTGTTACCTCAATTGGTAGAGCGCTGCACCAGTATCGCACAGGTCAGTGGTTCGAATCCCGTACAGGCCTGATTTTTTTCAGGTCTGATTTTCGCTATTGCTTAAATAGCGCTAGCTACTGCGAGGATCGTGCATATGTAAAAAAACTGTATGCACAATGAAACATGTGGTTACACAGAAACGCTGGCCGCTGCTTAATTTATCAAGTGGAAAGTGAGATTAAAACGAAGCAAACGGAGAGAGAAAAAGGTAACCAAAGGGAAACCAACGTCCCAGGGTACTGCTTCTGCAGTCGAGTTGCAAGGTCGTCATGGAAACAACTGATAGTACCCAGGACTTGCGCAAAGAGGTAGAAAATCCCGGATATACACGCGCGCTAGTCACGACCGTCGCCTCGTCGACAAATGTAAATTTACGATTGGTAAATTGTGTTGTTTGTCATAACGTTTGCTTCGCAAAACAGGGTCATTTTTTTCTTTCAATGAGCAAAGGCAGACTAACTTGCAGGTATTCGGCCTTAACGACTGTGGTTTTCAGGGTCTCGGACAGGGTATGCAATTTTACTATTTAGCCTCTTGAAAACGGTCTTTGAACAGGGTGTTAAAGGGGCACAGTTTTCATGTATAGTAAAAACAAATTTTTATTTTTTACTCCAGTTATCAACACTCTGAGGCCTCTGAGAATGATAAGCCATAGTTAATACAATGTACACATGGTAACTAGGTAATAAAATGAGCAGATTTTCAAGTCTGACACAGTCAGGGTTTGAAACTTGTCAGGACAACCACACCCATACGTCCTTTGACTACCCCAACCCCACATTCCTTGGGGATGGGTTGAAGTGGCAACTCCAAAAATTAAAATAGAAGAGAAAATCAGGTAAGTGGTATTTTACAGTCGGAGAGGCGCAGTAATTTCGTCAGGATTTGGACGGTTTAGGGCCCTCCAGAGTCATACTTTTGTCTGTGCCTTTGCTTTTGTTCAGCTCCCCCAAATCGGTTGTCTCCCCTTCATTCAGTGGTTCGCAGAGCTACAAGAAACACAAATATTCGATCACTTACTTGGAAGATATAACTGCATTGAAAATATTCGAACATCAGGCCCATCTGTAACATAGGTTCTATAATGCTTTGACAAGCGAACAAAATCTCTTCCAACATGTCCAAATTCTAGGCAACAATATTGGTAACCCGTCAATTTGCTCACACGAAGAGTGAACTCGTCCACACTCAACAGGCTAATCGGACAACGGGGACGCGTGTTTTAAACACCTTAAAGAAAACAGAGGTAACTAACCAAAAAAAAAAACAAAAACAAAAACAAAAAAAAAGAAAAAAACAGAGCAGCTTCTTTACCTTCTTGAGGGCGTCGTTAAATTTTTCACTGTCATCAATAAACTTTCCTTTCTTGCTCTCAAACTTTTCTTCGATTTGCTGCAACTCACTTTCCAGCTTTTTCTACTCAAGAAATAAAGGGTAAAGGTTACCAGCCGATTTAACAGTTTCAATTTAGTTAAAAATTTATATTATCTAAAGGAAATCGTT